TAATGATCAGTTTAACTGTTTTTTTTAATTATTATAATTAGCAGGAACATCAAATCTGTTGAACAAACATATGAAAGGTACAAAATGCGTAGTTTTGTACAAATGACCAGTCTTATATGAATAAAGTCTTATTTCATTCAGCAACCTCTCAGCTAGATTTAAGCATAGTTTTAGCTACTATGCGTTTTGATTCAGATAGTCAGTACACTAAATACCAAATGGCCGAGCTCAAATTAGACCAAATCGTATCGCGTTTGCTAAATTTGAGGGAAAAATGAAAAAAAAAATCAATTTTTTTTACAGAAAAACTTGTCTAATTGTCTTTAGATGATACCCTCTAGTATATAACTTGGGATCGTATTTAAACTTTACATATAATATTTATCGATGCTTCACAATTATTCGCAATTCTGAGAGAAGCGATGAAGAAATATGCCAAAAAATGTAATTTTTAGATTTTTTTGATGATTACTGTAAATGATTTCTGCACCAAACACTCAATTTTTTTACCATTTTCTTACCATAACACTAAAACATTACGTCTTTAAAATTATGGATTCTATGCCATATTTTCATACACGGAAATTCTATTGCCAATGATTTTGCATGAACAGTTTTTACCCTATCTTAATACACAAAAGATTCGGACATCTTTACACCATCTTAATACATGAAAAGTTCGAGAACCAAAAAAACTAAAATTCAGGCGCTAAACTTTTTTGACACTTACCATCTAAAACTAGGTATAACCTATCTTAATACCTTGGGAAACCTGTTCCTCATTTTAATAAATTAACTTAAAGACCTTAAATTTCTATTACTTTTCCCAAAACAATGACAAATCTATATAAAATTCTAATACATCGAAAAATCGGGCGCCCAAAAACTGTCTGAAAGTTACTTATCTGAAACTTGGTATAATCCATCTAATAGATTAGGAAATATTTTTTTCTACTTTAATACATAGATGGGATGACCTTTTCCCTTATCTTAAAAAATATGGGGGTCGGATACCATCCCCACCTCATTTTTCTACTACTCGTGCTCATCTCTCAAAGTTAGGTTTTTTTGTGCCAAAAGCGCCTTCAGAAAATTTTTAGGTTCCATCACCAAAAAGGATATCTCAAAAAATACAAAAGGGGCCGGCATGGGGTCGAACACCTGAGGGAGAGAAAAATATAAGAAACACACATCGCCCTAAACCCTTTGAATCCCTTTTGAGCCAGAAAAATGCGCGCTATTCAGTTCGTGAAAAAACTCCAACTGCGACAAACTCTAATTGCTAATTTAATGTGCGCCAAAAATTAGCAGACTTAATTAATTAAAAATCATCATGACAAAACTGGCATAATTTGAGACTGTAAGAAAATCGTAATATATTCAGTTCAGATGTCCAAAATCTGAGAATAATTCAATTTTTGGCTAAAGTTCATCCGTTTCAAGTTGCGACTTGATCGAACTTCTTAAAAATGTTTGACTTTTTGGCACAAAAACATAAAAATTTAAAAGTTTGCAAGTCATTAGTCCTAATTTAAAGTCCAATGACAATGCATCCATTGCAAAAGTAGAAGGCATTGCTCAAACACAACTTAGGATATGATGTTTTAAAAATTTTCCGAGAAGACTGCCATATGTTTTATTACAAAGATTCATTAAGGCGAGTTAGTAATTATTGCGTGTTTTTAAATCAAGTTTCAGGACACACAAAGTAACAGCCTATGCAAAAATTTTGTTTTATATTTTCAAATATCATATCTTCATGAAAATGTCTAGCAATATGTCCAAGCAAAAACAACAACTGATAAACCAATGGATTTTTCTTTTTCGACCATTCAAGCGTAAACTCTTACATCTTTGGCTGCAGTTTCGAAAAGCTAAATTTAAAAGTTGTTTTACGGAAACAAAATGTTATGGTGATCACTAAAGACGTATTGCCTGGACTAATCAAAGTTTTGCTATCAAAATTTTTGCTGTTTACTGGACGAGTTGCACAGATTTTGCTGCCATAAAAACTTGTATAAATTCTCAGATATGCGCATTAAAATGAACAGGGTTTTTTTTTCCACTTTTTGGAGGTTTTTCAGAGGAAGAACCAACGAAGAGAAGTAATAGTGAAAAAATTCGAAAAAAAAAAATTGTTTTTTTTTTGGCGCGCTCTCCACTTTCAAAATTAGTGTTTTTTGGTGCCAAAGGCGTATTTCAAAACTTTTTAGGGTCCGTCGCCAAAAATATATATCTCAAAATACTACAAAGGGGGACCAGAAGGGGGTCGAGCCCCTGAGGGGCAGAGTGAAATGTAAGAAACACTCACCGCCCCAACTCCCCTAAATCGTTTTTGAGCCAATCAAATGCGCGCTATTCAATTCGACAAAATCTCAAACTGCGACAAATTCTTTTTGTTTATCTAATGTGCGCCAAAAATGAGCAGACTTTGCAAAACGAAACATTAATTAATTCAAAATGTTTTGACAAAAATGACTTAATTTGAGCCTGTAAAAAACTGATAACCAATTCAAAAACGTCAGAAATCTAAAAGAATTTCAAACTTTGGCTAATTTTCATCTAATAACTTGTCGGCACAAAAACGTAAGAATCAAAAAGTTAGCTTGTCTTTGTTCTAATTTAGTGTCATTCGATCAGGAGGCATCGATTGCATAAATAGACAGCTTTGCTTAAAATAAAATAAAACATATGCCGATGTCTTAAAGGTTTTTCAAGAAGGCTGCTATGTTTTTACGGTGCTATGTTTTTAAGTCATTAGGGCGAGTTAATGATTTTTGCGTACTCTCAAATCAATTTTCAGGACATCCAGTGCGAACTACTCTTTGTAGATTGTTCAAGCGTAAACTTTACATCATTGACTGCAGTTTCGACAAACCAAAATGAAAATTTATTGTATGGAAAAAATATGTTATCTTGATCACTGAATATGTATAACTAGACTAATCAAACTTTTAATATCAAAATTTTTGCTGTTTACTGAGAAAATATAAGAGCATTGCAAAAACTGATTATAGGTTAAACATTTTTTTAAACTATGAGTCCTTGGCATCAATATCTTCCAGACTATGTAAAAAATCCAGTCAAAAGTTCAGAAGCCCCAAACTAAAAGATATCTTCAAACTTAGATAAATGTCTTCCCCCAATCCTAGAAGAGTGGAGTATCATCAATAAAAGTTTTTGGTTGCGGAGTAGTGTAGGGTAGCATTTTAAGCAATCAGTCAATTGCTTTGGTCATTTGAAATCCGGTATCTTAAGCGTATTTAGTAATTTTAATGCCATAGTGCCATAAAATAAAGGTTCTTTGGTGTCAAACAATCAAAAAAATCCGAAAAAGTGAAAATCGCTTTGCATTAAATTTTAAAGATGAGATTTCGGAACGATGAGTTTTGGCTTCTGTGATGTTTCATTGTCTTTGAAAATTTTATGCTCCCATCTGTGATAAATTCGGAGCGACAAACTTCGTTTTTGTTTACACCAATTTTCATAGTGTTACTTCGTTCAGCAAATTCAACTTGTAGATTATATATAATGAAAAACTGTAAACTCCAGCTCATGGTCCTTGCTGTTCTTTTTACGGTAATATTCATCTCAAGGAATATTTTGAACATAAAAATACT